GTACAGTGTGAGAAGAAAAGGAACACTAGGATAAGTGATGGTAGAGCCAAGTCCAGTGCTCAAGGAGATAAAAAAAAAGTTTAAAGAAAATCCTGATACTGAATAAAATATAAGAAGTAGTGAACTAAGGGCAAGACCCCACCAAGCTAAGCTTCCAGCTTGTGAGAAGGAATTAAAGAAAAGCTTAAGCAGTAAAAGAGACCAACAACAATATAAAGCTGATGCAAACGTAACTGAACAAGGGGGCCAAGTTCCAGTCCCATCAACAGCAGAACTTGAGAGTTCTGGCCATGAGATTCTGGCTTTAGAATCAAGGATAAAGGAAGGGGATTGTGGAATCCTCCTCCATGGCTCAGAGAAGCCATTAATGTGGCCAAATATGTGTCAGGGGTGTCCCTGCATGGATGGCCAGACAGGCCATTGAGTAAAGGTATGAGTAACTTGATTGCCTTGGAGACCTCAAGATGGGGATACAAGAGTCATGGGATACCTGCCAAGAAAAGTTGCAGACTGGGTGTGGAACCAGCACAAGCGAGAGAAGTATGTTGCAGTCAACAAAGATGAAAGGAGTTGGAGATCTAAAGAGTGTTTTAGCATCAGACATGAAGATGTGGACTTTAGAGTTTGCCTGCTAGTTTTCAGTCTTGTTTTGGTCCACTATTTCCTCACTATGCTCCCTTTCCTCCCTTCTGGAATGGCAATGTATATTCTGTGCCATTGTATGTTGGAATTATGTGAACTGTGCCTTGATCTTGGTTCTATAGGGGATTATAGTTCAGAGATTGCCATGAGTCTCAGAAGAGACTTTGAACTTTGGACTTTCAAACAGTGTTGAAACTGTGAAAGACTGTGGGGACTTTTGAAGTTAGACTAAATGCATTTTGTATTATGATATAGCTATAAGCCTATGGTGGACAGAGAGTAGAATGTAGTGGTTTGAATGAAAATTTTCCTTCAATAGGCTCACATATTTAAATGTTCAGTCACTAGGGAGTGGCACTATTTAAAAGGTTTAGATGGATTAGGAGGTGTGGCTTTGTTGGAGGAGCTTCATCACTGAGGGTGAGCTTTGGGGTTTCAAAAACCCATGCCAGACCCCCTTACCTCTCCCCATGGATCAGGATGTAAAGCTCTCAGCTACTTCTCCAGTGCCATCGTGCTCCCTCCCTGCCATGGTAACAATGAACTAACCTCTAAAACTGTAAGCAGGCCCCTGCTTAATGCTTTCACTTATAGGAGTTACTTTTGTCGTGGTGTCTCTTCACAGTAACAGAACAGTGACTAACACATGTAGAAGAGGGGACAGGCTAAGGTCTCAAGTTCAGGTCTAGGGAAGTGGGGAATTTCACAAGAGGGTTAGATTGGGAGCTACATGTGGAAGTCAGAAGTCTGTTTTTTTTCAGAACAGTGATGGTGATCTCCTAGTTGAGTGGCCCTTATCTTGAGGACATGGCTTAGTCAGCAGCCTGTGTTTTGTAGAGCAGTGATGACAACCTCTTAATGTCGAGGCCCTTATCTTAAGGACATGATTCTGGAATGAGAGTGAATTCTAGAGCCTGGAAGTGAAAACAGTAAAAAGACACAGCAGGATGGAGTCACCGATGGGCAACAGCTTGCTTCCATCATCCCCTTCATCTTAGAAAGTGGCAAGGGACTTCATAACACACAACCCTTCTCCTCTGGTGTCCAAGATCTGCATCTGGCCCCTCCCCGTCACGAGTATACAAAGTTCCTCTTAGTGCCTCTCCATTCCAATTTCAAGTTGGAAATAAGTTTTGAAGTCAGAGCCCAACCCTCAGCCCCCAGTTCCACTATGATACACACCCATGAAAACACCAACAGCAGGGAACAGATGCCCAAAAACCTAGAACCAGAGGTTTGGAAGTTTGTCGTTTAACCCAAAGCAGGCCCACAGAATATCAACTGCAGAGCATGCCTAGACTCTAAGGAAGAAGATCCTCTACAGTAAATTAAATGTAGAAAAATGTCCTTAGTATCAAAACAGGGCGCATCCCTGCAGGAGTCCTCGGAGCCTTGAAAAAGTAAGAAGGTGATGTGCTAGGTTTCCTAAACTTATTTAACCATGGACCCCTTTGAGGCAGATCCATTAGGACCAGTGTTCCATGGGATATGCTTTGGGAAAGAGTACTCTGTCCTAATTCCTTACTGGGTATCTAAACCATTTCCACTGCCACAGCTCCCACAAGCAAGTGCCCAGGTGGATACACCTCACCATCCCCAGTGCCCAGAGAGCCATTATCATAATTAGGGTTCCTTTGCTGTGAAGACACATCATGACCATGGCAGCTCTTATAAAGGAAAACATTTCATTGGGGCTGGCTTACCGTTTCAGAGGTTTAGTCCATTATCATCATGGTGGGACATGGCAGCATGCTGGCAGACATGGTGCTGGAGAAGGAGCTGAGAGTTCTACATCTTCATCTTCAGCCAGCAGAAGCAATTGTGTGTCACACTCAGCATAGCTTGAGCAAAGGAGACCTCAAAGCCCACTCTCACGGTGACACACTTCCTCCAACAAGGCCACACCTACTCCAACAAAGCCACACCTCCTAATAGTTCTACTCCCTATGGGGGTCATTTTCTTTCAAACCCCCACAGTCACCACCCCTTAGACCCCACAGTTCATCCCACCTCTTCTCCTAAGAAGCTTCATCTGAAGTCATAGCTACCTCAGAAAGGTCTGCAGAAAGCTACACAATTGATGGACTGTAGACACTCCAGGGTCAGCTCTCTGGGTTCAGCTTCACTCAGCCTCCCCACTAAACCAGGGGCTGTCCCTGTGGGATAATGGAGATATGGACCAGGGGCTCCCACCAGCAGCCCAGGCCAAGAACACGGAGTGATGGGATCAGGTCACAAGTAGCTTTAATCCCAGGCACTTCCTATCATGTGACTACGGTCAAGGCCCTGGACCTCTCTGAACATTGGGTTCCTCTTCTATGTAATAGTGCTGATGTCCTGGAGCTTGAAGGAGGTCAGCCTATAAAACCCCACAAATGGTTCTGGCATCAGGACCACCACCTGGACCCTCCCTGTCCTCACCAGCCTCCCAAGGTTCCTTCCCCATCTGTGGAAGGAAAGCAATCCCCATATCTCCATGGAAGCACAGAAATTTTTATGAATTAAAAAGGATCCTCTGAATTCACAAATCAGACTTCACCCCCTTTTTCCTTGATAAAGAATCTGACAGAGGAGCTAGATGGCTCAATGGGGAGCAAAGCTCTCATCACAAAAGCAGCAAGCTGAGGACCATTGTTCAGATTCCCAGAACTCACATAAATGTCAGTCACTTGTCATCTCAGGACACAGCAGACAGATGGTCACTATGGAAGGCTTTAAGTCCATGGGCTCTGGGTCAGCCTACTATGCTTCCAATCCCATTTATTGTCTGTGCAACCTTAGGCATATGATTTAACTTCTCTGAGCCTCATATACAAAACTGGAGTGAGAAAAGCATTTTCCTCATAGAACTGGGATGCAGACATGTTCAGATGATGTATATAAGATGCTTATATCAGTGATTGGAACAAAGAAAGGGTACATGAATGTTGCTGTTGGAGACAGTATTAAATATTGATTCGCTGGCTCCATGTTCGCTCAGAGTACTCCTTGGACAGAAGTCTCTTTCTGTCTTAGTTTGAGTTTCTATTGCTGTAAAGAGACACCATGACCCCAGTAACTCTTATAAAGGAAAACACTTAATTGAGCTGGCTTACAGTTTCAGAGGTTCAGTCCTTATCGCCATGGCAGAAGGCATGGCAGCATGCAGGCAGACATGGTACTGGAGAAGGAGCCGAGAATTCTACACCTGGATCTGCAGGCAGCAGAAGGAGGCCGACTGTGAGCCACACTGGGCATAGCTTGAGCATAAAGCCCACCCCCACAGGGGCACACTTCCTCCAACAAGGCCACAGCAGGAGAAGGAGCCGAGAATTCTACACCTGGATCTGCAGGCAGCAGAAAGAGGCCGACTGTGAGCCACACTGGGCATAGCTGGAGCATAAAGCCCACCCCCACAGGGGCACACTTCCTCCAACAAGGCCACACCTCCTAATAGTGCCCCTCCCAATGGGCCAAGCATTCACACACATGAGTCTATGCCGGCCATACCTATTCAAACCACCACACCTTCTCTTCTCTCCCCCATTTCTCCAAACCCAAAAAACATGGGCATGGTTTGGTTCCCATCACCATCAGTTGTCTCATTCTAAGCCACAGAATGGGGACTGTTCACAAAACGCCCTCATGAGCCAGGCCTATTGGCCCCTAGCTCCTGCCAGCCTGCATTATAGCCAGTGGGAGCTCTCTCTTGAAGGGTTTATCTAATTATTCTTTATCAATAAAAACTCGGGAGTCAGATATCGGGATAAGAACCTGAATGATCAGAGAAGTGGCAGAAAAGCAACCAGTGACTTCCAATCTCTTTTGTTCTTCCATCCAAAAGGGCAGAAACCCTCTCTAAGCACCACCCTACTACTTCCTGTCTCTCTATCTGTCCTCAGTCTTCCAAAACCACTATGATTAATTTTGGTCAGCTAGTAGCTAGCTCCTCCCTCTGATTCAAAGCAAACTTCATTGTCAGAATACGATCAAAATATGATACAACACTCTCTTATAGTGGGTATGAAGTTCCTCTGGTCTTCATTTCCCTGCAACCCCAGAGAGGCTGAGAATAGCAGCTATCCTCCATTCCCAGGTTCTAGCTTACTTCCATTTAAATCAAAGTCAATGAGCTTTCCACTTTCTGAGTCCCCACTGGGCTTTGCGGAGGACCTTTTTCTGTGTGTGCTTATATGTGTGTGTGTTTCCCCACCCCTAATAAAAGCCTTACTTTGCCTTCTGAAAATAAATCAAGTTCAAAAGCTACTGGACAAGCCCTCCACTTTTCAGGGGCAGAGATGACAGTGAGAGTCCCATTCAATCCTCAGACACAAGCTGAACTCTGACAAGGCCTTTTTCTTGGTTCACAGCCAGGGTACCCTGCCAGAGTCAATGGCTGCACAAGCTCCCAAGGTGATTTCCAGCAGTGGCAATGAGAAAGTCTCTCAGTGGCAGGGCCTAGCACCTGCCCAACCTATGCAGAAAGTGGCCCAGCATCTGGCTCCAGATGGGCACTTTGAGAAGGCCCAGGAAAGAAGTGACCTTCTGCAGAAGTTAGGGGTGAGTAGGAAGGTGACTCCCAGGGAGGAAGTTGAGCGGAAGCCCCCAGCTTCCATTTACACTCATCCTAAAATCAAAACAAGTACAAGGGGAGGCTGGTGCTTTGTGGGATGTGAACAGGGCCCAGGATACCAGGCCAACAGAGCCAGGACAGGATGGATGCCCCAACTGGGGTTTTGACATCCTTACCTGTCACTATAGCAGGCCCTGGGGAAGGGGGTCCCTCCTTGATGACCAGGACACCAGAGCAGTGGGGAAAGGAACTTGCTACCACCAGTAAGTAAGTCCAAGCACTGATGGCCGTGCAGGTCCAGCCGTCTGCCACCTCACTTTAGTGACTTCTGGCTTCCCACCCAGGTTTTTCACATTGCTATTGCTTTCGCAAACCTGGCCTTTGGCAGTTACCTCGTGTCCACAGTTAAGAATCTTCACTTGGTGGTGTTGAAGTGCTGGTATCCAATCTGGGGACCTGTCTCTGTAAGTAGGAGCACAAATCGGTGGATACAGAGGTTCACGGGGCCCCTGGGAGACCCTGGCACTGGAGGCATAAGCCCATCCTGTCTCCATCTCCCCTCTCTCTGCTCCGTTCCCTCAGTCACACTAGACATAGCTCCTTCCTGGGGGCACCTGTCACTCGTGGACCCTGTGGACCCTCCTTTAATTGAAGCATGTATGTTGGGCAGGGAGAAGAGCCAGTATGGGGTAGGTTCGCAAGGCTTTTGAGCACCCAAGCTACCTTTGTAGCCACAGCAACCCTAGTGCCCTATCAGGCTGTCCCTGCAGCAACACACAACTGTGATTCACAACTCTGTCCTTGGTGCATTAGCCAGGATGACAGACAATATGAGACTCACACACACACTGTTCCCCAGAGGCCCCATGCCCCTCCAGGACTCCAGGGCCTCTGTCCTGGCCCTGAAAACTGCCTTCACACTTAGCCTCAGCTCCATACTGTCCTCTTGGGCAAATGTTTCACCCCCATCTCCAGTTTCCCCTCAGTCCTCCATCACTACTGCCCCAGTTTGCATTCCCAACATGGAGACAGGGCTTTCTACACATGAAATGCCCATCACCCTGTGTTCCCCAGGATGGGCACATAGCAAGGACTCAACCCACATGTGAAAGATCGATCCAAAACACACTAGACCTGAGATCCAAGAGCACTGACCCCCCAAGTGCAGGGAAAGGTGAGGGAGGGGGGTTAATGTGACCCCAGCTGTGGATTTGCATGAGGTCTGGAGGTTTGTGTCCTCCATGCGTGAGCATGTTGAGGAGCAGAGCCTGTTGTGGGCTTGCTCTGTCCACAGAGTGGTGTTCTCTGCCCCACCGGCCAACAGGGGTTTGATTGCTCAGGAGTAAAGGTGGTTTTGTGGGTTTTGAAGCACCTCAGCTCTCTCCTTTGACCCTCACACCTGGTCTGCAGTTTCTCATTTCAGGGATCTTGGCCATGGCAACAGTGACATTTCCCAAGACCCCTCTGGTGAGTTGGCACCTGGAGATCTTTCCCTCAAAGCTAGGGGGCGGACAAAGGCATCTGTGTACAGAGATGACCCGGAGGTCTGGCCGGGAGCAAGAGCCGGAAGAGGGCATCTGAGAAGCTCCAGATGCAGACAACTGACTAGATTTGACAGGGAAGAAGGGGAGCCCCAGCCAGAGCTCAGCCTGTCAGGAATGGCTCCAGGCTCCCATCCCTCCATCCAGACTAGACCGAGGCTCCTCTATCAGTTGCTTTTCTCTCTGTGTGACAAGATACCTGATAGAAAGTGACTTTGGTTTAAGAGGGTAGAGTCCACAGTGGTGAGGAAGACTTAGACTTGGCAGTGGAAGCGGGAGGCTGCTTGAGTGGATCGGAAAACAGAGAGAAGAATGCTGGTACGCACCTGACTACTTATTATTCAGTCTGGGCCACCCTCCCGCACCGTGGGATGGTGCTACTACCTTCAGGGTGGGTCTCCCTCATCAGTTAAAACTCTCCCGAATACCCTCAGAGAAACGCCCAAAAGTGTGTCTCCTCAGTGATTCCAACTCTACTCAAGTTAACGATGAAGACAAACCATCACAGCTTCCTTCCAAATCTATCAAGGTTCTTTTTAATTTACTTATTCTTTTACAATTTCATGCATCTGTTTTATGTACTTTGGTCCTATCTCTCCCACCATTTTATCCTCTCCTATGACTTCTCCCTCCCACAAAACCCTTTCTTCCTCCCTTCAAGACCCGCTCCTTTCCTGTCTTTCATTGTTTTTTGCTGTTTTGGTTTGTGTTTGGAACCCACTGTGTTTAATTAATGCTGCCTATATGGTTATGGATGGGCCTTATTTGCTGTAGCAAGGGCAAATCTATCAAGTCTCAAGACCCGCTCCTTTCCTGTCTTTCATTGTTTTTTGCTGTCTTGGTTTGTGTTTGGAACCCACTGTGTTTAATTAATGCTGCCTACATGGTTATGGATGGGCCTTATTTGCTGTAGCAAGGGCAAATCTATCAAGTTTTGACTTCACTCATTATGTGGTCCTAAGCCAGCAGCTGAGGACCAATTGGCTCTGTACCCCTTCCCTGAGTCCTGGGGCTGCTTCTAGACAGCCCCTCAGCTCCACACCTTCTCCAGCCCACACCCTCTCTTAGCTCCCTTCTATCCCCATCAACTCTGATCTGGGAGAGTCATCCACACTGTCTCCTCACAGCAGCCCAAGGGTTTGTTCTGGAGTATACTGAGCTTCTCAGGGGGTGGTGCACCACCCAGCAGACGCAGGAGACACCTCGCAGAGACCTGCATGACAGGATGGGGCCTATTTCAGGAGCCCAGCAGGATAGATAGATGGAGAGGAGGAAAGACTCTCAGCTATGAATGGGCAGGACACCTACAGGCTCTCCCTGCCCTTCCCTGTAGGGTCCTCTGAATGTTAGACTCAGACTGGCTTGCTTAGTGTAAGATGATCATTGGGGAGTGTGTCATGATGCATCTTTCTTTACTATAAACCCCATGCACCTGGCAGCAGCTCTTGGGTCCTTCCAGTGTGTCCTGTAGAGGATGTTCGTGCCAGGACCTTCCCAGCAATCAGAAACCCAAAGCCTGGTATGCAAGTTAGCAGCCTTAAGACAGACAGAGTCTCCAGGTGTCGAGGGAGGGTGTCACAGACCAAGCTCCTGGAACGCAGGCCTTGAACTGGATCGCTAAACTCTAACATTTCAACTCTGCTTGCAGAAGATTCTGTGTGTGACAGCAAATGTCATCAGCTTCTTCTGTGCACTGGCCGGCCTCTTTGTCATGGCCAAGGACCTCTTTCTGGAGAGTCCTTTCCCATGGCCCATCTGGAGACCATACCCCAACAGCACAGTGAGTTCCCCTCCCCTCGTGAGTCCTCTGATTCCAAGGGGGAACAGCCTTGAGCTTGGCTGAGCAGAAACAATCACGTCTCAGAAAGCCTGTCCTGGAACCAGGCACTGCCCATCTGTACACAAGCCTCCAGAGGCACAGTGGAAGCAGCATGGCTGACCTTCTCCTGAGTCCACATCACACTGTGATTTGAGTCACCATGTCCAGCCCTACTTTTATACATGGGAAATCTGAGGCCCAGAGAAGGGGAATGTCCTGCTAGATGCTGAGCAGCAAGCTGGCTGTAGGATCACACCCTAGAACTGCTGATTCTATAGCTAAGACACCTTTTCCCAACAGCTTTGCAGAACTGGCTCAAACCACTTTATTACCCCCATTTTGTGGCAGTGAACACTGAGGTTCAGAAAGGATAAATCAGTGGCCAAAAGTCATGCAGCAAGTCTGGGGTACAGTGAAAGTTTAAGCTTTCAACATCGAGTCCAGTGGTCTTTCACTATACCATGGCTGCCTCTACAACAAGAGGAAGCACTGCCACTCGGCCAGGCTCCATGGTGACACACAGTGAATGCACACACATGTTTCCCTAGTGAATGTCAGCTCACCCCACTATAAAACACACTTTCTCTCTGGGCCAAAACAACCCCGTCATCTGAGTAGAATTGTCCAGATCACCCTTAGGGCTGCTTCCAGTTCTCCCAGGGTCTTGATAAACTCTCTGGTCCCCACACTTCGGGAAACCACTCACCCCTATGTGCCAGGCACTAGGCGTGAGGCAGGATGGAAACAGCCCCAATCCCTCAGAGTCCCTCCCTACCCTCCTGGGGAGCCAGAGCCCTGCTGCTTCTGCTGTTCATCTGCCCAGCAGACCCAGATGACAGGCAAGTACCAACGAAGCCCTGCCCCGTCTTCCTGCCACTCCCTGCAGGTCTATATCCAGAGACTGGAGCTGACCCTGTTGTGCTGCACCTTCCTGGAGATCTTTCTGCCAGGGCCCACAGCCATCACAGCCTGTAAGACAGAACGCCTGCATGCAGAGGTGAGGCCTTCCTGAAGACAAACCCTCAAGACATGGAATGTTGGGCAGCAGAGAGCTCAGAATGGACAGGCAGCAGGCAGGGGTCACAAACAAGATAGCAGGACCTCTGTGGAACACTGCATGAATCTCCATATAGTTAATATAGTTATGAGCCATAGAGACACATGTAAAAATAGCTTTACTTCATCTTCTCATCATCCTTTCAGGCAGGTATGTTCTTCCCACTACACAGAAAGTAAACTGAGACTTAGAGAAATCACACCACCTCCTAAAGCCTAGACCCAGCCCAGCCCATGTTGGGAATCCCAGCTGTGTGAGCTGCTTGCCCACAGTCCACTGGAGGTGGAACTAGAACTCAGAACCCACCAACTAGCTTGATCAGTGTTGGAGAGACAGGCACAATAAGCCTCTGGAAGTTCCCTCATCAAGCCTCATATGAACCTTGTGACTTCAAAAGTGACTCTGCCAAGACACATTTCATAAATAGCTGATCATACATGTACTGGGCCAATGGCAACAATGATTTCTCATTTGCAGGATGACACCCCTCTTGTTCCTGACACACCTATGGAACTTGAAGGTCTGTCAATGGGGCCACCATCCTATGAAGCTGTGACCCAAGGTAACACATAAATGAGCAAATTAAGAGGTGAAGAGGTTCTCAGCCTGGGCTCCCCAGATCTTCAGAAGTCACCACCGTCTCTTCTCCCTAACACAGACAGGAGCCACTTCCCCTGGGGAAAGGACAAACAGTGCTATTGTTAAAACAGTCCACCTAGAAACAGGTGGTGGTCCCTTCCCCTATGCCACCAACCCCAGTCCCAGATACCTCAGAGTCTGGTTCAGCTGGACAAAGCTTCTTCTGCTGAATCAGGGTAGGACCAGATGCCCTCCTTGCCAGCCTCCAGGGTAGCTCTTAGGTGAGCCATCCTACTCCAATGTAGTTAGACTTTCCTTTGGGCCACCAGCTCACAAGTAACACAGAAACTAATTATTAATTAGGAAAGCTCAGCCTTAGCTTAGGCTTGTGCCACTAGCTCTTATAACTTAAACTAACCCATTTATTTTAGTTTACATTCTGTCATGTGGCTTGTAATCTCATCTCTCCAAACTGCCCATGCTGCTTTCTCTGCAACTGCCTCGTGACTCCACCTTCTTCCCAGATTTCTCTCTCTCCCGGAAGTCCCACCTATACCTCTGCCTAGCTATTGGCCATTCAGCTTTTTATTACACCAATCACAGCTATGCATTTTCACAGAGTGTACAAATATCCCACAACAATCAGCCTCCCACCCACAGTGGGTGTGCAATGGCTGCCCATAGCTGGGATGGATGTCATAGGCTATTTCTAGAGTCACGAATCATGGGATTTGGGGACATCCAGAAAGACATCAAATCAAAAACCATACAAGGTCTCTGTTTCTGGGACCTCGTTGTCTCCATCTATAAGTGGAGGGGAAGTGATGGCCGTGATCCAGGAGGCTCCTGTAAGCTCAGAAACCTGAGGTCAGAAGCAGAGTTCAAGTTGAGACTCTGACCTAGGAATTCTAAACCTAGTCATGCTGGCAGGCAAGCCAAGGGAAGGACCTGCCCTCCTCCTCCCCAGCCTTCACTGCTCATAGGGAATTTCTGGCTGGGCTGGCTGAGTTGTGGGCCACACTGGGTTCTTTCTGTTTCTTTAAATTGATTTGTTTCTTATATTATTTTAAGTGGTCTCTTTTTAGCCATAAACACTTTAATAATCAAAGTAAGCTCCCCAAATAACAAACATGGTGAACCTAAACATCACCAGATTCTTGACCCCTCTGCCATAACC